AAGCTGTCTTGAGGATTTGACCTAAAAGTAATAATAGTAACAACAACAGTAATAGTGATAATAGCTATTAACATTTACCCGGCACTTTCAAGTTCGGGAAGCACTTTACAAATGTCATTTTGTTTGATTTTCACAAACCTGGAAGTTAGGCGCTACCGTTGTTCCCATTTTACAAATGGGGAACACAGGCTGAGAGCAGTTAGTAAATGGCTGAGGAGGGGTTTGAACTCAAGTCTTCCTGGCTCCGAGTCCGGTGTTCTATTCACTGTACAGCTTAGCTGTCTTTGCAGTGGGGAAATGTTGCAGAGAGGCTGAGTTCAGTCTGGCATCAGGAGAAACTTCCTACAACTGTGCAAAAGGGGAATGGGCTGTTCTAAATGGTGGGGTCCCCCTTGTTTGGAGGCAAAGCCCGGATGACCGCTTGTCTAGGATTTTGTCAAGAGGATTATTGTTCAGATGTGGGTCTGTCTCTGAGAATTTCCTTCCACTTGTCAGGGAGTTCTTGAGACAAGTTTCTCTCCTCTAAGTTTGGGCCCCAGGACCCGAGAGTGATGGAGATGCCAATAACCAAAGAAACTGTCTACTTCAGGGGTTTTAAGCCTGGGATCTCTGAACTTTTTGAAAACCATTTTGATAACTGTTTATTAAGATTATGGATTCCATTGATAATTGTGTATGTTTATTTCATGCATTTAAAAGCATTATTCTAAGAAGGGGCTGTCCAAGGGGTCCGGGCCACAGAAAACAAGCCCTGAGTTCCACCCCTGTGTTTTACAAGTGGGGAACCTCAGGTTCAGAGAGGGAATGTGACCCAGCTAGTGAGGCCACTTGCCTGGGGTCTCCTGCTGTCTGGGTATTTGCTTTGTGTTCAGAAGCAAGGCTGCTGGAAGTACCACGATGCACCAGGGGCACGTACCCGCCAGAAACACCTTGCATTCGTTACGTGTTTGATTTTGAATTAATTTTTGGATGTTGTGCATTCAGAAACCTTTTACTGTGCCAATCTTTTCTCGACCCCAGTTGGGTTCGTGACCCACAGTTTAAGAAGTGCTATACATGCCCCAAATCAGGCTGGTCCAGTGCTTCGGTCTTGGGGCTACAATGATGTAAGACATTTATGGACCATCCAACATTTAACAGCTAGTGGGCACGTGGAGGATAGAGCACTGGGCTTGGATCTCAATTCAAACTCAGTCTCACTCTCTTACGAGCTGTGTAACCCTGGGCAAGTCACACACTCCCTGTTTGCCTCAGTTTCCTCATGTGCAAAACGAGGATAATATAGCCCCTATTTTCCAGGTTGGCTCAAATAAAATAACACCTGTAAAGCCCTTAGCACAGTGCCTGACACACAATCAGCACTATATAAATGTTAGCTGTTATTATTATTGTTAGCGAAGGTGGCTAGGTGGCAAAGGGCACAGAGCGCTGGGCTTGGAATCGGGAAGACTCATCTCCCTGAGGTCAAATCTGGCCGCAGGCACTTACTAGCTGTGTGACCCTGGGCAAGTCACTTAGCCCTGTTTGCCTCAGTTTCCTCATCTGTAAAATAAACTGAAGAAGGAAATTTTGAGCCACCCAGTATCTCTGCCAAGAAAACCCCAAAAGGATTCACAAAGAGTCACAGATGACTGGAAATTCAACAACAATAACAATTATTGTTGTTGTTGTTGTTGTTATTATTATTATTAAGCAAGGAAAGGGTCCTCCGTTAGCACTTGTTCAAGTCTATTGGTAGTCCCTGTGAGAAGCACCTATTATCCTTCTACCTTCATTAGAGGGTGTTTGCCCTCCTGAACTCCGTGATCCAGCAGAACTGATGCTCCATTTCCCACCTCTGAGCCTTTGTACTGGCTGTCCCACATGCCTAGGATGCCTTCTTTCCTCACTTTTACTTCTAAGTCCCTCTCTTCTTTTAAGGTGAAACTTGGGCAACATCTTCTGTGCCAAGTCTTTCCTGATCTCTCCAACTGCTCATGTCCTTCCTCCCAACTCCCTTGGATCTAACTTTTTGGTAATCTTTGTTATTCACTTTACGTTTCTGCTGCATGCATTTTTATACATACTTTTGTTTCCTCCATTATGATGTAAGCACCTTACAGGCAGGAATGGTTTCATTCTTCAGGTTTCAATCAATGAACAAATATTTATTAAGCACCTACTATATGCCAGGTGCTGTTGTAAGTGCTAGGGATATAAGTACAAAGAACGAAAGAGTCTCTATTGGTGATGACCGTAAGTTCTAATACAGGAGACAAAAGTATAAATAGTAATTTAGTAACTCCATTTATTTGTATGTACGTATGGACACATGCACATACTCACACACACACACATGGTAGTTATCTGTTAGCTTGGGGGAGCACTGTTTTCCTTGTTATCTCTTGTCATTATGACTGCACCTAGCGCCGCACCTGGCCCACACCAGGTGCTTAATAGGTCCCTGTTGGGCGACTGATGGGTTGGCTGAAAGTGTGTTGGCTCAGAAGGATGTAGTGATGATACCAAGGGCAGTGGGGAAGCTAAGCTAGTGATCTAGGAGGACACCAACAAATAGGCTGGGCTGCTTATGCCTGGGGGGACTGGGAAGCTTAGTTAAAGCCTTGACGTCTTCCCCCCTCCCCCAGGTCAGTCAAGTCTCTGGGATAGTTTCCAAGTCTTTTAGTCTAGCCCTCTTGTCTTGGACTATAGCAGATATTGCACATACCACAACAGAGAACTCACTACCTAAAGAGGCAGCTTTATCCATTTTCTAGGAGTGGGGTAGACGAGATGGTCTATTTCTTAACTTCTCTGAGACTCACTTTCATCCTCTACGAAATGAGGATGCTAACAATACCGCTTGCTTCACTGGGCTGTGAGGCCTGAACGAGATAATGTTTGTTAAGCACTTAGCCAGCGTTTAATTGCTCTATAAATGCAAGCCAGATTTTAAAGGCCTATTTCATAGGTACAAATTTGCTTTAAGATCCTGTTTTGGTCTTTTTGGATAGCTCTATTTGTTAGAGGCACTGAGATATAGTGGAAAGATGATGGGGCTCGGGGACAGAAGATTTGAATTCAGATCCCAGCCCTGCCTCTGACTACATGTGCATGATTGCCTTAGGAAGCAGGATCCTGGGAAATTCCTTCTGCATCTTTGGTTTGGATTTTTCCTTCATGGTCAGAGAGAATGGAAGATGGTGAGGCTGGGTAGGTGAATTGAAAGGAAGAAAGGCAGGAGCCCAGGCCAGATTTTTTGCCTGAAAAAGATCTGGGGATCTTAGAGAACTGCAAGCTCATAGGATCATAGATCTAGAGATGGAAGGTAAGATTTTAGCCGGGACTTGAAGGAAGCCAGGGGAGCCAGGAGGCAGAGATGAGGTGGGAGAGTGGTCCCAGCATGGGAGACCCCTAGAGAGAATGCCTGGAGTCTGGAGATGGAGCATCTTGCCCAAGAAACAGCCACGAGGTCAATGTCACTTGGCCGGTATTTTGTAGAGAAAATTCCCGATGGACAAAGTGCCTGCTGAGGCTTCTTCCCATTCTGAGACTCTGTCATTCACCCAGGGCGATCACGAATCACAGACTCCCATTTGTGGGTGCACTGCTTTTCTTGGTGATAATAGGAAGTGCATCCTCTTCCATCTTTGGGCTCCAGCTCCCTCTAAACAAGCCCTACATTCCTAGGGTGAGGCTCAAGTGAGTCAGCCATGGGAAGGGGCTTGGTCATACTAATGGAAATTTTCATTGCTATAGAAAGGTCCTATGTATGTTGAACTGAAATCTCTCTAGCCTCCAGAGCCCAAGGCGTGCCCCCTGGAATTCCAAAGGACAACTATGATCCCTCTTCGCCATCATCTTCCTTCATGTGTTTGAAGATAGCCATCATATCAGACTTAAGTCTTCTCTCATCAAAGTCCCACAAAATAACCCTTGGTCCTTTGATCAATCCCCACATCTCTTTTCTCTCCATCTCTTCAATCATCTCTGCCTGTGTTTTTCACTGGATCTGCAGTGGGAATTAGGGGGTCAGCTTTGTGTTGGGTCAGCGACCATTCTGTACCTAGATTTAGGGCTAAGTTCTTGGTTGGGGCAGTGGTCATTCTGTGGCCAAGGTGAGAGCTATTGTGAAGTGGGTCAGAGTCTATGTTGGGAGCTAAGGGTTCAGCCCCTATCAGGGATCAGTAACCTGTTAGTGGCCAGGGTTAGTGGTCAGTCTCAGTTTGGGGTTAGGGACTCCTCTAGCCAGACTCAGAGGCCAGATGAGTTCTCTTGTGGCAGGGATTGGAGGTCAGCCTATACTCTAGTCTAGACTGGGGTTTAGCCAGCCAGCGTCCAGGATTAGGGGCCCACAGACCCTTCCTCTCTCAGCTTTCCATGGCTGGGACGCAGCTAAGAAAACATGAGAAATCATTTTCTCCTCCTTTCTGGGGGTGGTTCGGTGTGTTCCATTCCCCAACTTCCCTTTTCCCAGCTGAAACGATCCCTTAGAATTTCTTTTTAATTTTATCATTAATGAACTGATTCATCCCTGTATCTGCCTGGGGGACATTATTGGGCATACTACCTGAGGTCAAGAAGTCAAATATATCCTTGGGGAGACTTGTCCGCTGCCCGTGGGCAGCGACTGGTTCTCCCAAATTCTCTCTTGGTTTTCCTCATGCGTCATCGCAGGACCAGTCCTTACGTAGCGTACCTCCTTATCTGTGCACATAGAATGGAAGCTTCTCGAGGGCAGCAAGATTTCATTGTTTAGCCAGTGACTAGCATGGTGCCTGGCTCATTCTAAGCACTTAATGAACGCTCGTTGATGGAATGACTTCCTGGGACGGCATTTTGTTGGGTCCTTCATTAGGCGGTGGTGGTGGGTGGACAGGGGCTTCCTGGGGGAAGATTCCTACTGGGAAGTGCAGCAGCTTCCTGAGAAGGAGGTCCGGGTCATCAGTTTACATATACCCACCTCTTCCTTCCCGTGTGTTCCCTCCTCCCACCTTTCCTGTCTCTCTGTCTCCTCCCAGGTTCCTGGGAGAAGCTCGAATCCCCCTCCGGGATGTCCTCGCCACTCCGAGTTTGGCTGCCAGCTTCAATGTCCACCTTCTCGACACCAAGAAACAGCCGACAGGGGTAAGTGCCGGACTGTTATCATCAATGAGAATACTTTTTCTTTGGTGAGGCAATCGGGGTTAAGTGACTTGCCCAGGGTCACACAGCTAGTAAGTGTCAAGTGTCTGAGACTGAGAATACCTTTTATTAATGGCCAGTGGAAGTCAGGCTTCATGGTGAGCCTCGGACAGGATCACCTTTGAACCTCACTAAAGCCTGTGGGAGCAGAGAAAAGGATGGATAGGGAACCCAGAGGACTTGGCTTCAAAATCTGGCTCTGCCACTTTCTAGGTGTGTGACTTTGGGCAAGTCATTTCCCTTTTTCAGGCCTCAGTTTCCTTATCTGTAAAGTGTTAGACAAGATGGTCACTGAAGTTACTTCTAGCTCCAGACCCTCCCCTAATTCCCCAGGGAGGCCAGCAGAGTCAAAGTCTATCCTTGCCGGGGATGGTTGTTTAGAGAGAGGTCAGGGTGGGAGAAATTGGAGGCTTGGAAGAGTGGAGAGCATTCTAGACTCTGGAACATCCCACCTGGGAGGGACCTTAGACGAAGCGCAGAATGGTGCAGTGATATCCCTGAGGTCACACAGAGAACGAGACCCCAGGCCGGCTGTGATGATGGAGAGGTGTGGTACCTCTGGGCTCCCAAATGAGCAAGCTTCCTCCATCTGCCTGTCACAGAAGGGACTTGTCCAAGGTCTCACATCCAGCTTGGGGCCAGGACTGGCCCTTCATGTCAGAGGAGCTGCTTCTGGTTCCCCTCTTAGATGGTGACTTCTTTGAAGGCAGGGACTGGCTTTTGCCTTTTTTTTTTTTTTGTCCCCAGCCCTTACAACAGCCCTGGTACATAGTAGGAACTTAATACATGTTTATGTATACATCGGTCCTGGTTTCAAGACCAGCTCTCTATCCGCTATTCCAGGCTACCCCTTTTACATGATAATCATAATTAACATTTAGAGCTTTAAGGTTTGCAAAGCACTTTACCTTCAATTCTCCCAACAACACTGAAAGGTAGGTGCTATTGTTATCCCCATTTTACAGATGAAAGGTAATGGCTTGTATATAATCTGTGTTGTTGTTGGGGTTTTTTTTTTGAGGCAATTGGTGGTTAAGTCACTTGCCCAGGGTCACACAGCCAGTAAATGTCTGAGGCCGTATTTGAACTCAGGTCCTCCTGACTCCAGGACTGATGCTCCATCCACTGAGCCACCTAGCTGCCTCTCTATAATCTACTTTTTTTTTTAAATTATGCTGTATGAAAGAAATTTATCCTGGGAGATGAAAGGGGCCAGGAAGCCTGGGGTCAAATCTTGGCCCTATGGGACTTCTTGCACCCGGATCTCTTTCGGTCTTAATTCCTATGGTTCTGTGAGTGTATTTTCTTTCTTGGGAGAAGTTGCACTGAAAAGACAGACCTAGAGACACCAGTGTTGGACTCAGGGGAATGAAGAGCTAATGGGGGAATTTCAGGCATCCTGACAAGAGATGGGAGGGGAGTGGTAGAAGGCACCCCAACATCATCTCTTTAAAGCTTGGAGGGATCTCAGAAGCCACCTAGTCCAATGCCCCCCATGTTACAGAGGGGGAAACTGAGGCCCAGAGAGATGAGATGATGGGATTAAAACTCAGCTCTCCTGGTTCCCAAATCTTCTCCTTTGCCCTTCTTGGCTTCCCTGTGTTCCCTCTGGGTGGGGGTGAGAGTGGAGTAAGAAGGTTACTGGGATACTGAACGAAGAAAGACCTTTGTGCGAATAGGAAGGCCTGGGGGACTTGGGGGGTTCTGCGGGCTCACTTCCCCACGCGGGCAGAAGTCCGCCTCTTGGTTCCTCTTGGTTCCTCTTCTGCCTTCTGTTTGGATCTTCTCTTTTGGGGACAAAGGAAGCGGAAGAGAGTGGGGTCAGGCGTGGGTCCAGGATGGGACGAGGCAGAGCAGCCAGCCTTCCACAGCCTGGCTCATCTGCATGAGGAACACGCCTCCAGCAGGTTGGGGCGGCTGTCCCCGTGTGGGGAGCCGGAGGTCAGAGTGGCGCTGGCAGAGGGCTGGGTCTGGGGGCCAGCAGAGCCGCCCACGGCTAAAAGGAATGGAGGACGCTGGAATCCCAGGACTTAAGAGACAGAAGAGACCTCACAGGTTCAAAACCCACATTTTACTGGTGGGGAAACAGAGGCTTAGACATGTATTTACTCAGGGTCATGAAGACAGCTCTCTCTAGATCATGGGAACCTAGATGTAGGGCTGGCAGGAGGTTCCCTAACGCAAACCCTGATGTGGTAGTCGAGGTCGCACGTGCGGCAGATCCATCCATCGGCCAGCTCGTGTTTGTTGTTGTTACTGTCCGGTCATTTCATTGGTGTTTGTCTCTTATGTCATGGAGGTGGAAACAAGACTTGTCTGCCGATGGGGTACTTACAGTGAGGGAGGGTCGGCACTGAGCGTGGTGCTGAGGCTGCCAAGCCTGGTTCCTTGATAGGGCAGAGGGAGAAGATGCCGTTGGGGCCCCTGGGTTACAGACCCACCCACACCCCAACTTTGACCCTTTGGGTCATTGGCCCCCTCCTTCTCTTCCCATCTCTGCATGCTCTTCTTCATGGAGAGCCTCCTGGAGGCTCCGACCTCAAGCGGGGTTCAATCCCCCCACAGGGAGGGCGCTAGGACCCACGTCCCATAGCCAGAACTCTGCTGGGCTCTGGACTGCCTTCATTTTCTCTCTCTTTGCCTTCAGGGCCAATCACTGCAATCCCACGTGAGGCTATGGCCAGACATCCCTGCTCACTGCTTACACTGACTCACTCCTTCAGCATCCATCCACCCACATCACTCTCCGATCACTCTCTTACCAAGGTCTCCTGGGGCAAGTCACTCTCTCCACTAAGTGTCTCCGTCCACCCCAGTAAACCCTTACCACCCCCTCCATCATAAACATCCAGGGCTGGCTATCCAATTGGACCCAATTACCAGCTTCAGGAAAGTGTTCTGTGCTGTCCTTTTTTCATTTTCATTTTCAGTTCCATATTCTCTCCCTCTCTCCCCCATTGAGAAGACAAAAAATACAATTGCCAATGTAAGCTTGATGTCAGAGAGAGCTTAACGCTCAGAATGATCCCCAAATGGCACCGGCTGCCTGGAGCCAGATGCCTAGTGGGCTCTCTGTCACTGGGGGGCTTTGGGCGAAGTTGCGGCTTTTGAGGTTCCTGCCAGCTCAGAGACTCAGACTCTTAGTCACGTTTTGCCCTTACCACAGACTGGTCCAGCTTTTCTCATTTATTTATTGTTTCTTCCCTTAATTTCATAGTGGAAACTTTAACCATAACCTTGTGTCCTTTTAATGAAGGGAATGGGGGTTCTAGAAAGTCTGGGACAGAAAAGGGATGTTTCAAGTGGGGGGCTGGTGATAGAAGAAGCCTATGTTTTGGGGGCTGGAACAGAAGTTGCCTTCAACTTCCCAGGGCATCTGTGTGAAGAGCCACCAGGCTAGGGGGGAGCTGGCCTTCCCTTCCCTCCTTCCCTGCTCTGATCCTTGGAGAGCTCTGTAGAGTGATTGGGGGTGGGGTGGATCCTGGATTCAGGCCTGGAAGAGACCCCCAATCCCTTCATTTTATAGATGATGGCACCCTTGACAGTCACAGGCACGTGGGATTGCCACTTAAGAAGGGGTAGTCATCACAAGTGACTTGTCCAAGGTCACGAAGCAGTGGGATTTGAACCCAAGGGGATCTGATGAGATCACCAAGGGAGGGGGTCTGGAGAGGAGAAAGAGGGGATCAGAACTGAGGCACAGACAGGTTACAAAGGGTCACATAGTAAATTTCAGAGAGCTTAGAATGAATGAATAAATAAGTATTTATGAATGAAAGAATTATTATGACCACAAAACAGGATGCTAACAAGTACAGACAAAGGAAGTATAAACTGAACGGGCCACATCAATCCAGGAGAAGGCTTGTTTCCCCATCAGTTAGGATGAAGCCAAGGAGGCTTCCTGGATGAGGTGAATTTGACATCTCTATGTCCTTCAGTGACTTCTCTAAACTCCCATGGCTCCCCATTGCTTCCAGGTTCAAACATAAATTCTTTCATTTGGCTTTTAAAGCCCTTCCTAACCAGTATCCAACCAACTCATCCTACAGGGAATCTCAAACAGTCTTAGTGATGTTTTAAGTGCTAATACTCTAAAACTGCACCAAGGATTTTTGGGGGCAGCTAGGTGGCACAGTGTGTAGAGCGCTAGCCCTGGAGTCAGGAGGACCCGCGTGCAAATCTGCCTCAGACACTTACTGGGTGTGTGATCCTGAGAAGTTGCTCAATTTCTCTTTGCCTCGGTTTCCTCATCTATAAAATGAGGATAATAGTAGCACCTACTTCCCAGGACAGTTTTGAGGCTCAAATGTGACAATATTTGTAAAGCTCTTTGCTCAGTGCCTGGCACACAGTAGGTGCTTAATAAATGCCTGTTCCCTTCCCCTTCTCTAGACGCAGCTCAGATGCTGCCTTGTTCTACATAGAGACTTTTTTTTTGGGGGGGGTCCTCCAGCTGCTCATGCCCTCCCTCCCCAAATTATATGTTCTGTCTATACTTGCGTATGTAGATGTGGTCTCCTCTTCTTTTAGAATAGAAGCTCCTGGAGGGCAGGGACGGTTTCATTTCTGCCTTGGTGTCCCCAGCGCAGTGCCTGGCACACAGTAGGTCCTTAATCGAGGCTTATTGATTGGTCAATTTAAAAGAGCTGTGTTTTTAGATATGAGTGTGTCTCCCACTTATCACATCAGGGCTTGTCCAGGGCTTCCAGACTGTGCTTGTGAGTTACCACCATCAAAACAGCGACTCCTTCAGAGGCCAGAGGGCGTGGAGTGACGATGCCAGAGCTCCGGATTTGGAATTACATAATGTAGGTTAGACTTCTAGCCCTGTGCTTGTACCTGGGTGACCTTGGGCCAGTGACTTGCCCTTTGGGCAGCAACTTCCTCGCCCGAGGGCTTCCCAGATCCCTTGCGAACCCTGAGGTGATGGCTCTCTGTCCTCACTGAGCCAGGCTGATAGACCCAGCATCTGTCTCTGCGGTCCTAGGACTGTGCATTTCGATCTCATTGAAGTAGGTACTGTTATTATGCCGATCTTACAGATACAGCCCATGTGAGCTCTTAGAATCCTTCTTTCAGTTTCTACTCCCACTGAGAAGTCGAGTCCCTAGAACTTGTCTACATCTCCTCCTCCCCAGGATTCTGGAGTGTCAGGGTGATTCTAACATCACTGGCTTGAGCCCTCGCTGGTGTGCTTCTCCCCAGAGATGAGTAGTTGAGAATGATTTGGTCAGCCGGCCTTAAGGAACTTTTAGAAACTGTAAGGACAATGGATACAAAACATCTCCCCCACAAGCACATACAGAGTCCAGGGGAAAGCGAGTGTGTGACAAGAGAGTACCTCACAGTCAACTGGTTGCTGGAAGTTCTTTTCTCAGATTCATGGGGTGAGTAAATCCCCCTCAAACATAATGAAAGATTTCCTTCAGTCTGCCCTTGGCTCTGGAGGCACACTCTGCTCTCAGATGATCCAGGGATACTGCTAGGGGGACGCCTGTAGGATGATGGCACGCATGATGTTCTCGGACCTTTTGTCATTTGCAAAGTCTTCCTCTGGCTAAAGCTGGAGTGAGTGACCCAGCCCAGACCAAAGCTGAGGCTTCTCCTTCCCCCCAAGAGGTGTGCTGTAAAGTCACCCATGTTCCAGGTTCTGGAATTCTTCTAGTTTTAACTAGCTTGAGAATTTATACACGACTCCTGGGGTACAACCAAGGTTCTTTGGCTTATACAGACAGGATTCTTCTGTAGCACCCCTCTCATTGGAAAGGCTCAGTCCAAAGCCTCTGACTGATTGGTCATTTCATCACTTATTTTAAGGGCAGTGGGGTGTCTTGGCTGAATAGATGACAATCATCTCTATCCTTACACAGATAAGTAAACAGGCTCACAGAGACTTTTCCTGGATCATACTGCTAGTATGTGTCTGAGGTGAATCAAACCCAGGTCTTCTTGGTTCCAGGTTCAGCGCTTTCTACCCCACCCCACACTACCTTTGACACCCAGGTGCACCTCCATGCCATGACCAGGCTTCTGAGGCCTCGGGTAGAGGTTTGAGCATCTGAAATGTGCATTGTGCATGGGATCGGGGTGTCCCAAATCTAGGGCTGGAAGGCACTTTAGAGGTTAGCCAGTTCAACCCCTTCATTTTATAGATGAGGAAACTGAGGCCCAGAGAGGGAGAGAGACTTGCCCAAAGCCACACAGGTAGAGGAGCTGAGCGGTGCCTGGTACGCAATAAGAGCTTGTTATCATAAATATAAAATAATTAATGCTTGTTGACCGACCATGGACCTCAGGGCTCTGGCTCCAGACTGGAGGCTTTCCCCACTACCCCATACTTCCTCTTGTGATCTTTCCTCCTCTTCATTTTCCGGGAGATTTCCGAAGTCTCTTGACTCTCTCTGGCCCGTTTCATCCTCATGTACTTCCCTGTGGAGTCGACATCATTTCAACGATAATCGTCTGATAGAAATGATTGCGCTTGGGTTGGTCAATGGGCGACATCTAGTGGTGTTTTCGGTAGTAGCACCAAATGAACCTCTTGCTGCCCTCGCCACATACCTTCTCTCCGATTTCCTGCTTCGCAGACTTCCAGGGTTTCAGTCGCTCATAGGATTTAAAGGGAGGAGGGATCTTCGGGATTAATTGGTTCGTTTTTCGGATGAGTTTCCAGGGGAAGAGTGGCTTTCTCCAAGTCACCCAGACAACAAGGGCAGGGCCAGAAGGATGGATGGGATGGTCCATGAGTGCCTGCCCACTTTGAAACTCTGTGATGCTGAGACAGCTCGGTGACCTTGGGCACATCTCTGCAAAAAAGGAAGGGATTGGACCAGAATATCAGGCGTTCCTAAGCTGGGGTCTGTGAGCTTTTTAAAAACAAATCTTTTCATAATTGAAATTATGAAATTATGGCTGGTGGTCAGTAAACATTCACCAAGTGATGACTGTGTGCCAGGCACTGCCCGCTTGGGATACAAATACAAGCAAAAAGAAAGACAGTCTTTGCCTGCCCTCAGGGAGCATCCATTCTAAACCAGCTTTATTCAATATACTGGTTCTCCTTTGTAATCGTGTGTATTTTATTTTACGAATTTAAAAACATCCTTCCAGAAAAGAGCCCGTGGGCTTCGCCAGATCGTCCACAGGGTCCAGGCCATAAGGATAATCTAGAACCCTGGACTGGCCCCAGCTCCAATGTTTTGTGCTACCATAAAACCAATTTTAAAATAAAAATGTGTTCCAGTGTGGTGGGTATGTGGATTCGTCGAATGGCTTCCCCGCCCCCCCCTTTTAAGTCTTCATTACAAAGTATGGCTGCATGGGGAGGAAAAGTAAGGGGAGAAGATATACAAGGTGCCCCCAAAATCGTAGAGCAGTGGGAAACCCTGTATGGAAAAGTGGATGGGATATGATCACAAAAGGCACAAAAAACCGACTGTCCCCTTCTGACCTCATCAAAGAGGGAGAGAAGGGCAAACCTCGTTTCTGCCCTTTTGTGCAGGAGCGCGGGTCCTTCATGCTGACCGCCTGAGGCAGGCTCTGGCAGCCCCTTTCTTGTCTTCCTCCTCCTCTGCCTCGGCCCTCTTTGCATTCTGTCTCAGGCTTCATTCACTTCACTTCACTGCCCTTCATCGCACACACTGCCCGTGGCAGCCAGCCCAATTCATGAGTCTTTTGTCCTCCATGCCTGGGGAGCCCTCCCTCTTCCCTCCTCCTCTGAGAATCCTTTTCTTAATTCAAAGCTGTGCCTCCTCCTACAGGAAGCCCTGCCAGATCCCCCTTGGGCTTACTGTTCTCTATCTCTCCTCAAAGTGGATTGCATTTATTTTTGTGTCCAGTGGTGTGCTGGTAAAAGTTTAACAACTGGCTCTCTGAAAGAAAAAAAAAACAAAACCCTATATACTAGATGCATCACCTAGCACAATGCTAGGACAGGGGCAGCCAGGTGGCGCAGTGGATAGAGCACCGGCCCTGAAGTCAGGAGGACCTGAGTTCAAATCCGACCTCAGACCAAACACTTGACACTTACTAGCCGTGTGACCCTGGGCACGTCACTTAACCCCAATTGCCTAAAACAAAAACAAAACCACAATGCTTAGCACATAGTAGGTGCTTAATAAATGCTCATTGGATAGAATTCAACTGTGTTTGTAGCCTTGGTACCTATTATAATGGCTGGTATACATTGGGTGTTTAATGAATGCTTGTTGATAAGGTGGTTGTGAGGACCAAATGTCCTAATGTCTCTAAGGAGCTTTGCAAACCTTACAACATTGTATTAATATGAGCTACTAGTGGATTAAAATCAGTTTCTTTCATTTGAGTTGAATTAGTTTCAATAATCATTTATTAAGCACTTAGTGTGTGCAGAGCTCTGGGCTCAGCCCTTGGGATTGGAAGAAGATTGAATTCCGTGCTATCCTACTTCCCCCATCAAAGAGTAACTGTGGGGAGTGAAAGGAGGCCCAGGCTGGAAAAGAAACAGAGTCACAAGAGGTTTGAAGAAGGGGTACCATGGGATAATGGTATTGGTTTTGAGGACTTGGATTCAAATTCTGCTTTATGACCTTGGGCAAGTCACTTGACCTTCTTGGTCTCAGTTTCCTCAGCTGTAGGATGATGGGGTTGGACCAGCTGGTCTCTGAGATCCCTCCCCTCACTGGAAGCTGGAATCCTATGACTCCTACTATTCCTGAGGGGAGCCAGGGGCCGGGAGCTGGGGGTCGGGGACAGGGCTGGGGCCTGACATGCCCGGCAGGGATGGCCATTGCCTCCCCTCACTGTTCCCTCAGACCTCAGCGCAGCCTCTATCCCGGGCGGGGGTGGGTCTGGGGGCGGTGCACCTGGTGACCCTAATCCTCGTGCTCTCTCTTCCAGGCGACTCTGGTGCTGCAGGCGTCTTACATCCCTCCTCCTGGATCTGTGCCCCTGTTTCCTCCTCCTCCACCACGGGACACCTCTCCTACCCTGACTGAGATGGACTCCGGGGCTGGTAAGGATCACACTTGTCCACCTGCTTAGTAATCTAGTGACACCCCAGGCTTCCCAGGTGTCCTGGAGCGGGCTCCGCCCGACTCCGGGCTGGGGACAAAACACGGCCAGTCACGGCCCCTGGGGGCAAAAACACCTGGAAACCCACCTGTTGTCTGTGAGAAACGCTGTCCCCCACTACGGACTGAATGGATTTGGGGGTGAGACAGCGAACGGGAGCACTGATTAATTATTGTTCCAGACTTACAATTTCCTTAGATCAGGAGAAACTCCTGGGATGGAAATTCCTTCCCCTGATGGGCAGATTGGCAGATGAGCATCATTTATTGTCTCAGAGAGCCAGTCGGGCCCCGGGAGGCTCGACTCAGATGGCCTAGCCTATAGGGTCAGAGGAAGGATTTGAATGCAGGGCTCCTTGACTCCAGGCCCAGCTCTCTAACCACTAGGCAAGACTGCCTTTCTTCTAAGTGATCGGCCCGTTGTAAATCATTCGGTGGGTCAGCCAGCAAGCATCCATTACCTGCCTGGCCACACAGCGGGTTGTCACCCAGGTTGAATATCAGCATATCACGATCCTATAAGACATTAAGATCTGCAAAACATCTGTACAATCATCATCTCACTTGATAATAAGAGCCACTGTTTGTTCAGTTTTGAGCCCAGGGATGGAATGCTGGATGACCTGGGTCCAGATCCCCTCTTGTTACTCTATTGCCATGTGATCCTGGGCAAATTACTTGCCTTAAGCCTTAAGTTCCTCATCTGTAAAATGGGCTGATCCTTGGAACATGCTGTTGCCAGGCTCCTGTGAGGTAGTGAGCTCCCTGTGACTGGACACAGGCTGGATGTCCACTTGGTCATTAGGGAGGGAGTTCCTGTGATTTTATATGACAAAGCCGATGTTTGGAGAGGCAGTAGAGTGGATAGACGGAAGTCTTGTGTTCAAGCCCTGTCTCTGACTGCCCAGGCTTTGGGAACCCAAGTAAGTTTCACTGCCCCCAGGCAGCTCTCTGAGGCAGAGGAGCCCAGAGGAAGCGGCTGATCTGCATTGGTGGAGGGAGTTTACGTACCAGAAGGTCTCGGAGCTGATGAAATCATGGCTCTGGACAGAGAGTAAACCAAGCCCCCAACAGCAGCTCCGCCTGGGAGGTCACTGTTAGCCCCATCCCTAGAAGGAGCCTGTCATTTATTCACTGCATTCGGACTCAGGGAGACAGGTGCCGCTTACCCTCCCCAGCTGGGTGCATGAAAAAGCTGAGTCCAGACAGACGTGGCCCTGCTGGAGGCCACACAGCCCGTGGCTGGCAAAACTAGGTGTGCCAGCCAGGGCGTCGATTCTGCAGCCCCAGCGTCCTTCCCCCGGGCTGTGCTCTCTCCTCCCTCATGTGATCCAGGAGGGAAGATGCCTCCTCAAGACCTACCCTTCAAGGTTTGCCGGACACCTTCCGCAGCCCTGGGAAGTCGGCGATTACTCTCCCCATTTTATAGATGGGGAAACAAAGGCAGAGAGGTTAAGTCACTCAGGTCAGAGGCAGAATTCCAATACAGATCTTTTTTATTCCAATGCAGCCGGTGGCTTTGTGGCTAGAACTCAGGGCCCAGAGTCAGGAGGACCCGAGTTCAAATCCAGCCTCAGACACTGACTGGCTGTGTGACCCTGGGCAAGTCACTTAACCCCTGTCTGCCTCAGTTTCCTCAACTGTAAAGTGGGGATAATACCAGCACCTCCCTCCCAGGCTGGTTGTGAAGGTCACGAAGCCTTCATTTCCCGGTACATGCCTCTGCCCCTTCCTATCCAGTCAGTTATCCCTCCTAATAAAGAATACAAAATAAAGAGAGAAAGAGCAGCTGGGCAAAGAGGACCGATGCTTCCAGACAGTTTCACAAATCTGTAGTACTCCACACCCCTAGTCCCCCACCTCAGTAAAGGAGACAGGGAGGCTCGTTTACTCATATCTTTTCCAGGGCCACGCCTGGTCATTATAATTATTTAGCATTCAGTTTTGTTAGAGCATCTGGGTGGTGCAGTGGATAGAGTACGGGGCCTGGAGTCAGGAAGACTTGAGTTCAAATCCAGCCTCAGACACTGACTGGCTGTGTGACCCTGGGCAAGTCTCTTCACCCTGTTTGCCTCAGTTTTCTCATCTGTAAAACGAGCTGGAGAAGGAAATGGCAAACCACTCCAGTATCTCTGCCAAAAAAACCAAAACAAAACCCAAATGCCAAAACCCAATGCCAGCTGGTGCCCCCTTTACCACTGACAACCTTAGAGAGCTGACTGATGCTGGGAGGAGGTAAGTGAGGGGTATGCAGCCGGCCTGTGGATGGGGTAGAATTGGAACCCGATTCTTTCAGGCCCTGAGTCCAACTCCCTACTCACTTTGCCCTTCCTAAGAACTAGAATATGCTACAGATGACAGGTACAGGCCGGTGCTGCTTGAGGTCTGAAGGAGAGCTCATTTTCAACTTGGGGTCCTGGAAGGCTTCTCAGAGGAGGCACCCTCTGAGCTTGGCCTTAGGCGGTCAGTCTTAAGCAAGCATTTGTTAAATACTCACCAAGTGCCTGGGGCTCTGCTGAGTGCTGGGGACACCAGGAATGGCACAAGACAGAGCTTACAGTCTAATGGGGGAAGACAGCATTCAGTTACGGACAAACAAGGTGTATGTAGGATAAACTGGAGACGGTCACAGAGGGAACGCAGTAGAATGAAGGGGGTTAAGAAAGGCTTCCTCTGGAAGGAAGATCTTTTTTTTCTGGGCCTTAAAGGAAGCCAGGGAGGCAGAGATGAGGAGGGATGGAATTGTAGACACAGGGGACAGCCAGTGAACATGCAAGGTACAACAAGGAAGCCAGTGTTCTTAGACCAGCATTTGGGGGAGAGGGAGGGTGTAAAGTGTAAGAAGACTGGAAAGGCCCACTTCACTAAGTGAGGTGCAAGGGGAAGGCATTCCAGGTCGGGGGAGGGCAGCATAAGCAAAGGTACGGAGGCTGGAAATTGTGGTAAACTCATGGACTGAGAATAAAGAGTCATTTAGTGTGGCTGGTGTAGGAGAGTAGTGTGAGATAAAATTGCAAATGTAGGTTTGTGCCTCATGTCAAGGGTCTTGAACGCCAGAGTGAGGACTTCAGAGAAGGGTGAGATGCATTGGGACAAAGGGGTTAGAGAGGCTCCGTGGAAGAAGGGGGGGAGTGTCTCGAAATCTAGGTGGAGGGAAGGAGAAATTGATTTTTCTGGTTGGTGGGGGTGGACCAATTGAATTCAATGACTTCATGGAGTTTTATGGAGGAATCCACATTTATTAGCTGTTGCATGAAGAAACTGAGGCCTGGAGGAGCTAATCAGGGAAGCTTCCTGGAGGTGGCAGACTGCCAGCCAGATTTGGAAGGAGGGCAGGAGAGAAGTGACTGGGGAGGGGGGCAGGGAAAGGAGAAGGGAGGGAAGACTGGCTCGGCCATCCATGGCCTTCACCTGCTCTCCGGCGGTCTGCGCCCTGCCCTGTGCTAGGTGTGGGACAGAGCCATGAGGAGACGTGGTCCCTGCTGAGTGAGAGCACGGTCGACACCAGATACTCAGGGAGGAAGTGGCCAGCCCCCGTGGGTGAGAAGGGAGCCGGAGTGCTACCCCTCCTCTTACCGCCTTCTCTTCCCCATGTAACTCCTCACTCACCTTCATTCAGCAGCGCGGGGTGGGCACGGGCTATCTTCACTCTTCCAACTGTCCGCTAACTCAACTGACGTCTCTGCAGTTCCAGCTGAGGGTAGCTGCTGTTTTCTTCACCACTCTCTCGACTCGCTTAATTTCTACGGGACACAGGGTGGCAGGGGTGAGGTGCCTGTGGGCTTTTGGGATTCAAGGAATCGTGAGGGGGGGCCAGGGCTGACCGCCTCTCACAGTCTCCCTCTCTCCCTGTTGGCGGCTGGGCAAACACAGGGGTAGAGGAGGACACGGAAGACCAGGGTCTCACTGGAGATGAGGCAGAGCCATCTCAGGACAAGAGTGCTTCCCCCAAGCCGGGGGGCCCCGCAGCTCAGAAGAAGCTTCCCCTGCACCCAGCACCGCACCATCCAGGGGTCAAGAGGAGGAGAGGCTCCTCCAAAAAGCTGCTGTCAGACAAGCCTCAGGACTTCCAGGTGACCATGTGTGGGCAGTCTGCCTGTCTGTCTGCCTGCCTCTCTCATGGCCAATCAGCACCTGCTTACGCACACTCAGTACCTACCATAAGGCATCCCTGAGACAAGGAAAGGTCTTTATTAAATCACAAAAGTCAGACATATAGATTACAGCGTATGGTATGCTGGAAAACCACATGAAAAATGCTATTTTTGGGTCGATGACGTGGGCGCTGAGTCTTAATAATCGAGTATTTTGGCTGGTCAGTAACTCAGACTCAGGATGGAATTACAGAGCACCATAACTGTTCTGCTGTGTCTTTGCCAAAAGGCTTCAGTCTGAGGTTCATCTTTCCATCACAGTAGCTAACATTTAGCTAATGCTTCAAGTAAGGTCTGCAAAGCTATTTTCATATGTTAGCTCACTGGATCCTTACAACAACCCTGGGAAGGAGGTGGTATCATTATCCCATTTTACAGATGAGGAAACTGAGTTTCAGAGAGGTTAAGTGGCAGATTGCCAGCAGGTCAGAGTCTAGATTTAGAGCTGGGAGGAACCTCAGGGGTCATTGAGGTCAGTCCCTCTGTTTATAGATAAGGAACTTGAGGTGTCCACAGAGGTTACGTGATTGGCCCAAGAACACGTAGGGGGCAGATCTGGGATTTGAACTCGGACCCTCTGATTCCAAATCCATTCAATTCAATTTAAATCAACTAGCATTTATTATAGTCCTACTATGTGCCAGGCTCTGAGGTGGGCACTGGGCATGAAAAGACAAAAATGAAAGCAGTCCCTGTTCTAAAAGAGCAAGAAGCAAATATCTATAAAATATGAACAAAGTCATTGGGGAGGAGGGCAAATTCTAGCAAGAGAGTCATCAGAAAGGTGTCCTGTGGGAGACGGCTGTTGAGCTCAGTCCTGAGGGGATCGAGGGGCTCCAACAGGTAGATGTGAGAGGGGAGAGAATTCTAGACTTGGGGAATGACCCATGCATGGGCAGGAAGAAGTAAAGATGCCCAAATGTGGGACTGGGTGCCTCAGGAGGTAGTGAGCTCCCCATCACTAGAGGGCTGCAATTGAGGCTGGATGACTACCTGGAGAGAATACTGTTTCCATCCATCCATCCATCCACCTATCCATCCATCCATCTATCCATCTATGTCTATCTATCCCTATCTGTCTATCCATCTAAATCTTGATCTTTTCACTCTATGGAAGATAGATAAATAGACAGGATGGATAGATGGATAGATGGATGGATGATGGATAGGTGGATAGATAGATGGGTGAATGGGTGGGTAGAGAGACAAATAGACAGGCTGACAGATATAAAGAGAGATAGACAAATAGAAGATGATAGAGAGTAGAAAGGGCATTAGCATCAGGATCAAATGAGGTGAGATATACACACACACACACGCATACACACACACACACACACACACACACACAAGGGAGCTGGCTGAGTGACGCAGGGGATAGAACACTGGCTTCCCCAGCTTGTTTTCTCATCTGTAAAATGAAGGGAGTGGACAAGCTATCATCTAAATTCTCTTCTAGCTCTATGAGGTCCATTTATCTATTTCCTTCATACTTCTGTCTATCTCTTCATATATCTATCTGAATATCTGTCCATCTCTTTGTCTATCCATCATCATCTATCCATCTACCTCTCTCTTTTCACCCATTTATCTCTATCTAGCTATTGATCCAAATTTGTCCATCCATCTATCTCTATCTACCCATCTTTATCCATCCATCTCTATCTGTCTATCTATCAATCCATCCCAAATGTTCACATGGACTATTTGTGCCCGACCTGTGGTAGAACATTTCAAGCTTGTATTGGTCTGCTCAGCCACAGTTGGACAACTGAAACTTGACCCTGACATAGTGATGTCATTTTGGTCCTCTTTGATAACATAGGAAAACAACCATCCATTTATTTATATTTATCTATCCATATCTATCCATCCATCTATCTATCTATCTATCTATCTATCTATCTATCTATCTATCTATCTATCTATGCCCATTCATATCTATCTACTATTCCATCTGTTTATATATCTAAATCTCATTATCTCCCCCCTGATAAATTTATCTACATATTCATCCATCTACCCATTCTCTGTTGTGTGTTTTTCACCAGGAGTAATGTGCTTACAAAGCACATTCTTTTAAATGACCCGATGACAGGTCATTCTATGAAGCTAAGAATCCACTATGCTACTAAAAAACTTCAATAAATAATGAAACAACTCTTCTTTCTGTACTCTCTCATGTCACTTCTCTGAATTTCAGTTTCCTCTTCTCTAACTTGGGGTGGGGCAGGGAAGAGGGGAATGGGATGACATGATTTTAAATTTCTTTCCACTGCTGACATTCTATGATTCTCTGACTAGCTGAGGGAGAGACACCATGGTTTAGCCACAGGGCTTGTGAAAGTTCTATGAAGAAAAGACTTGAATTATTTAATAATTTTGTACTTTAAAAATACTATTATTATTGATTAAAATGAGTAAACATGGCCAGACATTGATTCCCCCCTCCAATTTCCTACTAGGGGATATCACATTTAATGTCCACTTTCACAGAGGTGATAGCATCAGATTATGGTCTTTGGGGCCATTTTTGCTAAAGACTTAAGGCCTCGTTGTATTTTCACAACCATGAGCATAATGATGTTTGTCCCATGGCCAGACGGCAGAAGGCCAAAAGCTCAATCGATATTCTTTTCCCTCTCTGTTTTGGATTATAAGATTCCTTTAGGATAGGGTCCCTATCATAGATAGCCTGGCCCCATCACTTGTACAGAACCGCTGAATGTCAGAAATATGAGTGACCTTGGAGAAAGGGGGTGTGTTGTTAATTATTTTATTCCTAACTCTTCTTTTAAATGACCTTTTGGATCATTCATCCTTTGGCCTTTAGTGGGATTGGTTTTTGAATGTGCCTTGACTGTCTCAGAGAATATCTTTTCTTCCTTCCTGTTTCCCCTCCCCCATCTTGGGGTGTTTCCTTGCTTCCCTGTGGACCTATATCTCTGCCTGCAGGTCAGGGTCCAGGTGATAGAGGGACGCCAGTTACCCGGGTTGAACATCCGGCCGGTTGTCAAGGTCATGGCTTGTGGTCAGACCAAGAGGACGAGAATCCGCAAAGGCAATGGTCCAGTCTTTGATGAGGTAAGAGACACACCTCGGGAACCTTCTCTCCAACGCTCATGGTGGTGGTGGTGGGAGAAAGTTCACTGCTGCTATTTGTTGATGTTCTGGGACTTTTCTCTGCCGATCTGGAGTCATTTGTTGTGATGAGTGTTGAGCCTTGGTGTTAAACCCAAGCTCTTTCATGACTGGATTTCTAGCAGTTTATAAGGACCCTCTTCAGAGATGGTAGCCCCGAATTCATGACCAGTAGAGGTGCAGGAATAGCAAGACTGAATCCGAGTCTCCAGCTAGACTCTAGAGTCCAAATCGAACACTCTTTCCATGACATTGCATGGAGTCTTCATGAGTTGCTTTTGCCAAAATGATAACAAACAAACAAACAAATAAATAAGATAATAAAATGCACCATCACCTAGCGGCCACCCTTTGGTGATGAGTCTGCCTTTCTCCCATCTCCTGGGAAGCCCTGAGGGCTGGTCTTCATATGGTAGACACTCATTTACATTGGGCCCTTCCAGCCTGTGGGACCTACCAGAGCCCACACTTCATTGGCATAGCCTTTGAGAGTCTGGGGTTCCCTCCATGCCACGATATAGCAGAGGGTACAGGTCTTAGAGTAAGGCAGGTCTGGGTTCAAATCCCACCTAGAATTTACAGGCTGTGTGAAGTCACTTAACCTCTTAAGCCTCAGCTTCCTCATCTGTAAAATGAGTGGTGGGGGGGGGGTTGGATGCAATGGCCTTCCTACTCTAGAGCCATGACCCCATGAGGGATGGTTGGCCTGTCCCCATTGATTGCTAGGACAGCCCCTTCTGGAAAGCCAGGTTTAGTCTTACCAGGGTAAGCTCATAGAAGAAAAATCTGTACCCAGGCCTGAGCCAAGAGAGCCATGGGGAGTCTTGGGAGGGCGCAGACTGGTAGAGTTAAAGGGGGACACTGCCTTGAAGAGGGTGGTCGGGGGCTCAGCTCTGAAGGCTGGCTCTCTCCTCCCCCGGATAATTCCTTACAGAATAGCTTACAACATCAACTTAACAGACCTCTGAGAAGATCCAGAGCAGGGAGTTCAGATTCAGAGCCTGGGAAGAAGGGAGGGATTTTTTCAGGGAAATTCTGCCATAATTTTTGAGGGAATTTTTTTGTTGATGGAAGAGTGGACGTGGCTTGACCTGGCTGAGGAGGGAGCATCTGACAGGTTATTAGAAGACTGGTTAATTACTTACTCCCCTCCCCTCCATTCTCCCGAGTCCTATCAAATGATCTTGTATGTATTTAGCACCTGTTTAGTCTATAATGATACGTGTACATGTTGTTTCCTTGAGGGTGGGGATGTTTCCTTTTTCCTTTGTTCTCAAAGTGCCCGGCACATAGTAGGTGTTCAATAAATACTTCCTGATTTGTTGACTGATTGATGAGACCTATAGTCTCCAAAACCTAGCCTCCAAGGTTCCTTCCAGCTCTGCAACACTGAAGTCTTGTCTTCCTGTGACTGTGAGCTCCTTGAGCACAGGGCTGGCAGCCCAGGGTCATCCACGTTATGGTCACTCATTGTTGGTGAACTTTAAGGGGCTTCCTCTTCCTTGGGGTGGATGTTTCACAGAATCTTAGAAATTTAGGGGCAGTGGGGACCTCAGCCCACAAGTGACCAGAAACTCCTTTTCCCACATCCTGGACAAGAGAGCATTCATTCACTGCCCAAAGAGCTGCACCGAGGGAGAACTAGCCCTTGTCCCGTTTCAGGATGGCATTAATGATTAAGGATTTTAAAAAATGACGTCAAATCTAAATCTGCCTCTTTGTAGAGCTCATTGCTCCTTGTTCTTCTCTCCGAAACTAAGCAGAATTAGACCAATCCTGCTTCCTCTTATGCGTGACAACTTTTCAAATACCTGAAGTCAGTTAGCACGTCTCCCCTGTTTCCCATTTTTCACTATTTCAAAGAAAGCCACTGTGAATATTTTGGTACAGGTAGGTGTTTCCTCCCTTTTAATAATCTCTTCAGGGAGGAGGTGAAACTAGGGCAGGCTGACGACGCTTTATTGCAGGGTGCTGAAATTTACAGAGTGCAAAAATTTAACATATTTGCTCCTTTTGCAGCCAAAAGCCAGTAGAGTGACTAGTTTCCCCTCCTGCTCAACTAAATTTGTCTGAACTCTTAAATGATTTTCACCTCATGAATTACAAAGTTGATTTGTGTTATTTGCCCTTGGCACCAAAATTACTAAGGATATAACTGCAACAAAATTACTTAGGATGTAACTGTGGCTTTTGAGGATACTTGGGTCAAACCGGATGAATGATCTTGTGTGTATTGTATCTCACCAGTCCCACTCCAACCCCCACCTCCTCCTCCTTTCCTCCACCATTGCCCAACTGTGAATAATGACCAGTTCTTCCTTAATGTGTGTTTTACAGACCCTTTTCTTCAATGTCTTTGACTCTCCAGTGGAGCTGTTTGATGAAGTCATCTGTATCACAGTAAGTAGAGGGGTGTGTGTGTGTGTGTGTGTGTGTGTGTGTGTGTGTGTGTGTGTGAGAGAGAGAGAGAGAGAGAGACAGACAGACAGACAGACAGACAGATGGGGGGAGAGAGGCAGGAAAAGAGAGAGAGAAAAAAAGAAAGAGAGAGAGAGAGAGAGAGAGAGAGAGAGAGAGAGAGAGAGAGAGAGAGAGAGAGAGAGAGAAGAGAATACCTGAACATGCATAAAATAACATTGAAGACTGCTGACCATTTTTGTTCAGGATTAAGACAAAGGACATGCATGGGGTGGGGAGTGGCTATCAGATTTTCAGATGGCATAAACCTGGGAGGGATAGATAACCTTTAGGACCAAAAAGATCTCAACCACTCAGAATAACCAGTAAGATGAAATGTAACAGCGATACATGTGGAGTCTTGGGTTTGGATTCAGAATATCGCCTTTGCACGTCCGAGTGGGCTTGACAGCCGTTTTTGTGTGTTTTAATTTTCCCCCTTCTTCCAGGTAGTTGATTCCCGATCACTCAGGACAGATGCTCTTCTTGGGGAGTTTCGGGTAATTTTCGTGTTTGCCTATCACCATCTCTCAATTATCCCTCGAGAGGGGTGTGGATAATCCACAAATCATTTTTCTTTGGCTTTGTAATATACGCCTGTGTGCACACACATGTGCATACTCACACACATACACACACAACTGGATTTCCTGAGCTCCCATTCTCTGAGGCTGAGGATATGCTAGTAAATATTTAACAACCAGATCTCCAAGGAAAAAATACTCACAACATACCTTTAAATTTAATCTGCGTAATTAGTATTTTCTCCTTCACTTTCTTAAGTCTAGACCATCAACAAAACAACATGCCAAGCCCTGACTGGTAGCATTTGCTGATCTTCGAGGTGTAACTACTCACACTGAACATCCCACAATTGGCTTTCATGAGCCGGTTGGAGTTAGCATAGGGGTCTAAATACATGCTTCTAGGGGGAGGGGTAAGGAGTAGAGGAAGGAGGAGGGAGACTGTCCTAGGGCTGGCTCACTGTTCCCCTGTCTGGTTAGGTGATTTAAAAATAGAGTCTTTATGACTGCTAATTCACCAGTAAAGAGATGGAAGGTTTTCATCTCTCATTACTAGTCAAATAAAATACATTTTTATTTTATGGGAGACAATATACCCTAATGCAATTCTAAACATTTGGGGGGGCAGTCTGGTGAAGCCTATGGACCCCTCCTCAGAATCGCATTTTTGAATTCATACAATAAAATTGATAAGATTATAAAGGAAACTACTTATAGTGAAATCCAGTCATGAAAGCATTAAGAAAACAATTTCTCAGCCCCCAGATGAAGACCCCTGCCCTTATGAATAGAATACTGGACATGGAGTCATAAGCTCTTGGGTCTGGAGAGGGAAGGTCCTCAGAAGTCATTTAATCCTATCTCCTCATTCTACAGATGAGAAAACTGAGGTTGGGAAGACCTTGGTGTGAATCCCCGCTTAGGCATTTACCAGCTGTATCATTATGGACAAATCATTTCACTCTCAGCCTTAGTTGGTCCATAAAATGGGGAGAACATGTGGGCACGGTGGCCAGAGGTCCAAGAAGGATCTTGGATTCAGACCTTCCTGACACCTAGTGACTGTGTGACCCTGGGCAAGTCACTTAACCTCTAAGGGCTCCAAAGTAACTTCACATGAATTTCTTACTTGCATTGGTGGGAGGAGTTTATAGAATCATAGATTGAGAGCTGGTGTAGGTCCCTTAAAGACCATGGAGTCTAAACCCCTCATTTTCCAAATAAGGTAACTGAGGTGCAGAGAAATGAAATAACTTTCCTGGGGTCATGAAGCTGATAAGTGGCTAAGGTGGAATTCAAACTCAGGTCTCAGGTCATTCTATCCACTAGCCCATCTTTGTTTCAGCTGCTGCTGAAGTCACAGGTCCAACCTTCCCCAATACAAACAAAGAAAAACATTTGTATGTGTACATACGCATAACATGTACAACATGTACAATATTATGCACATTAATATTACATGCACAAAGTATGTGTAATATAACATTGTGTGTATAAGGCATGTAACAATGCAACATGATGCATCTTACATATACATATATAATGTGCATGCTATATGCATGTGTGTATATTGCACATGTATGTGTTATGTGGGTGTGTATATATATATATACTCTTTGTAAACATTGAAGTGCTATGTAAATAGTATCTATAATTTTATTTCTATCAATAAAATTCTCAGGGTCAATAAATACTAATTTCCACGTCCCTGAAAAATTCTGTCTTACAACATGGACTTATTCCTCACCCATTCTTTAAAATGGAATTTTAATTGCATCTCTAGGCCCACATGCCCTTTGCTCCTCGACCCAGGTTGGGAGGTTAATCATTCATTTTTTTTTTGTTTTGAATTCCAGATGGACATTGGATCAGTTTACGCAGAACCCAGTGAGTTAAAGGGGCCGTCCTGGCCACCTCCCAAGTGGGGGTGCTGGGGAAGGCTTTGGGACCCATATTTCCTGTTCCCTGTGGGCTTCCAAATTGAGCAGAGAAGGATTTGTCTAGGCTTCAGAGTTACAGACTGATAAGGAAGAGGGTCCCCCCACTGATTAATCAGTATGGACACCTCTGCACATAGAAACAGCTGCCCATGGAGTCCTTCCACCCCAGCCTTCTCCATCTAGAATCCCAGGTCTGACAGGGGTCCCTAGGTGTAGTTTAGGGGAGGTTGAGGTTACCCTCCCTGTTGCTATTACCATAGGGCAGGGAGGGTCCCCAATTTTTTAAACACCCCTAAATGACCTGTGGGAGGTCCCCTTCCCAATTCTATTGGCCTCTCTAGCCTGGGACTTCTACTCTGGGGAGTACCTCTTACCTTAAATCCTAACAAGGGTGTTTGCTGGTTAGTAAGAGATAGAAGACCCGAGGTTCCAACATCTGTGACTTCCTTCCAGAACCTAGAGCCTGACTGGTAGCAGGGGTCTGGCTTACGTGACCCACTGGGGACCTCTTAACCCAGCTTCTCTGAACATCCGCCAGGCTTGGAAGTTTGTGTGCAGAGTATTGGGGCAGGACTGTCAGGCACTGAGCCATTATTTTAAGGAGAGGGTGGGGAGGGTGGTCACTAATGGATCCCCTCTCTTATAGGACACGCCTATCTCAGGAAGTGGCTACTGCTTTCAGACCCTGATGACTTCACAGCTGGGGCCAAAGGTTACTTAAAAGTCAGCGTTTTTGTACTGGGTCCAGGAGATGAAGCCCCTGTAAGTACTGACCTTCTCAGGCACATTGGCCTGGCATGCACGGCCACATGTGGCCTGTGGTTTTAAAAGGCTTCCCTTCTTGGCATCATGTCTGTAGCCTGGCACCATACCTGAGGGGCAGCAACTCCCCACACTGAGGGGGAAGCTGAGGCCAGGGAGGAGAGTGACATCCCCTAGGTCACAGAGTGAGTCCTTGGGAGCATAGAAGGAAAACTCAGGGGTTCTGGCTCCCAGCCTAATGTTCAAGGAAGATAACCTAACTGCTCTTCAGCCTGGCAAACCTAATCTCTATGACAGTCCGCCTGCTTATGTTCATTCTGAGCCCTGCAAGCTGAGATGCTCCATGCCCCATCAGAGGATGCGTGTGTTTCTTGTTGTCTTTAGGCACAAGACCCCAACTCTCTCATTTGCCTTTCCAAAGGAGGCAGCTAGGTGGCCCCTGGGATAGAGTGTTGGGTGGGGTGTCAGGAAGACCCTAAGTTCAAACCTAGCCTCCAGTACTTACTAACTGTGTGACCCTGGCAAGTCACCTAACCACTATCTATCTATCTATCTATCTATCTATCTATCTATCCATCCATCTGTCTGTCAGTCTGTCTGTCATCTGTCTTTCTATTGTCTGTCCGTCTATCTATCTTTCTATCATCTATCTATCTATCTATCTATCTATCTATCTATCTATCTATCTATCTAATCTGTCTGTCTGTCTGCATCTGTTTATCTATCTCTGCCTATCTTTGTCTGTCTGTCTTTCCATTTATCTATCTGTCTATCTAATCTTTGTAAACCTTAAAGGGCTTTAAAAATGCAAGCTATCATGATTACTCATCAGCCTCTTAGACTAAAGGTGGCTCCACCCTCCTTGGATGGCCTTTCACCTCTGTCCAATCATTTCATCCTTACAGTAACACCTGTGAAGTGAGCAGGGCAGAGATTATCATCCCTGTTGGACAGATGAGGAAGGAGACCCAGAGTGAGTGACTTGCATAGGCTCACAGCCAGTTAGTGGTAGGACTAGAATAGAACTGTCTTGTCCTAGGCTGGTGCTCCCAGCCTTGGTCTTCTGCTTCCCTCCAGCCCTTTAAAAACAAAACAAAATAAAAAACAACTGGACATCAGCATTCTGCGTCATTCTCACGTCTGCTTGCAAGCCCACCTTACTAACCCATCTTTAATTTGGATCTGGTCTGGCGTTTGCTTGGCTTCCCAGATGGAAAAGAAAGAGTCCATGGAAGACAAGGAAGACATCGAGGGAAATCTGCTCCGTCCCACTGGCTTGGCCCTGCGTGGGGCTCATTTTTGTCTGAAGGTCTTCCGGGCTGAAGATCTGCCCCAGAGTGAGTCTGGGAAGTCTTTTGGAGCTTAGAAGATGGGCTAATGAGAGGGGGCGGCTGAGCTGGGCTAGGGCTGCTGAAGACAAGCCGCTCGTGTCAATGGCTCTTTGAAAGCGGGACAAGGTGGGCCGTGTCTCTTGTCTCTTCCACCACACTTGTGAGATTGTAGCCAGTATCTGGGGAAGCAGCCTGCCTGGGTCCTCTGGGGTTGGCTGGATTCCTTCACAGACAATTTGTCCACTTCTGTTCATAAAGCCCATTGTTTAAGAGAGGATTTCTGCCTGGATTGTGGTCATTGGTAAATGAAAGTGTGTTTGCATTTCTGTCTCAAAACTAAAAAGACCAGGGTTCTAATACTGCCTCTGACACTGTGAGACCCTGGGCAAGCCATTTAATCTCCGCATGCTGTGGTCTAGCCTCTAAGACTCTGAGCTGCTGAGAAGGTGGTGATCTGCCTTGGTGGAGGAAGTTTCCTCATCTGGTAGTTCCCTCTGACGAGGAAATGACAGGTCCAGTCCTGTTGTTATTGTTAGGTGTCACACCAGCAGGATGGCTGGATGGTTTGGGGGGCCTGGCGTCCATGTAGACCCAAGGGGTCACTGCTGAGGCACCAGCAGGCAGGAAAGGGTGCCATATCAGCCTTGTAATAAACACAGCTCCCAAGTTTTCAGGGAAATGTGCTGTCCCTGGGGACACATGATTGCTGACCCAAACTGCTTACAACTAGAACAAGCCAGGCCAGGGCTTGGCTTCTTCCTTTACGGTTGAGAAGCCGCTGCTGCCGCCATGAGCAAAAAGCCTGAACCTGTGTCTGGGGTCTGGGGTTCTGGGGTGGGGAAGAGCGAGGAATGAGCCAGATTCTTGTACAGGGGTGTGAGCACCCACACTCTCCCTCACTGGCAAGCGTCTGGAGTGGCCCCAGCCCTGCCTCGCTTTACCCACAGCCCATCTTAGGATAGGGATGGTGACTTGACCTGTGGGTCACTGGCATACAGAACACGCAGCTGAGAATCCTTCCTTTACCTGTCAGCACCTTCTCTGCAGCTAAGGGAGATGCCTAGAACCCTGAGGGGCTGTGACTTGTCCAGGGTCACACAACCAGTGTGTGTGAGGCAGTTCTTAGACTCAGGTCTTCCTGGCTAACCATCCACAGCCCCACACTGCCTCTCTGCCATGTAGTGATTGCTTAGTCTTTAATTCATTCTTTCTTTCCTTCCTTCATCCATCCATCCATTCATCCATCCATTTATCCACCCATTCTTTTATTCATTCACTCATCCATCCATTCATTTGTTCATTTTTCTATCCATCTGTTCATCCTTCCATTCATTCATCCATCCATTCATGTTTTCATCCATGTCAAAATGGAGCCCCAAGTGTGGGGCCTGTGCGCATATTTGTGTATCTTTTCCCCTGGCCATGGAGAGATAGCATGACATGATAACCGTGATGATAATTAGAAAGACAATGAAGAGAACTTCCATTTCTTAGGTCTAATGAGTGAGACCCTGGGGGTGGGGTGGGGGAGGGCCAAGGATGGAGGGTGTAGAGACTGGACAGAAGAACTGATCCCAGCCTTCTCTTTCCCATCCAGTGGATGATGCTGTGATGGACAACGTGAAGCAGATATTTGGGTTTGAAAGCAACAAGAAGAATCTGGTCGACCCCTTTGTGGAAGTCAGCTTTGCAGGAAAGATGGTAAGGAGGCACCTCTTGGAGGGGGAACAAATCCTGGCTCACCTTGTCTGAATTAAAGCCTGTCTGGCCAGATCCTGTGGGATGTTGGAGGGGGGAGGAGGAAGGAAGGAGAGAGAGGAGAGGAGAGGAGAGGAAGGGAGAGAGAGAGACAAAGAGGAGAGAGAGACAGACAGAGACAGAGAGACAGAGGAGAGACAGAGAGAGAGGGAGGGAGGGAGGGAGGGAGAGAGAGAGAGAGAAAGAGAGAGAGCGAGAGAGAGGGAGGGAGAGGAGACAGACAGACAGACACACAGACACACAGACACACAGACACACACACACCATTTGTCAAGAGTCCATTAGGTGCCAGACACTGAGCTGAGTATAGGGAGTACACAGACAGGAGTAGGACGTTTCTGATCCTCAGGGAACTCACGTACCATTGAGGGAAGGGAGGTGAGGGGGATAACATGTATACACACAAGTAAATACAGCATATGTACAAAATCCATATGAATTCTCTCTCTTTTTTTTTTTTGATGGGGAAGGGGAGAGTGCTGGCGCAGTTGGGTGGGGGAGGGGTATGGATTAGGAAAACCCTCTGAGAGGTGGCACCCAAGCTGAGTGCTGAACAGAGGTTGACTGACATTTAAAGAGATGGTCATGATGGGAACAGTCTGGACAAAGGTAGAAAAGTGGGAGATGGGAGGTAGCTAGGTGGTTCAGTGGATCATCTGCTGAGTAAAGGGCTGGGAGTCAGGAAGCCAGAGTTCAAATCCTGCCTTGAGTACTTCTTAACTCTGTGACCCTGGACAAGTCACTAACCTCCCATCTCTCAAATAGGGATGATAATAGCCCCTACCTCACAGGGTTGTTGTGAGAATCAAGGAAGGTAACCTGGTAATAGCTTTGCATACCTTACAATGCTCTATAAATGTTGGCTGCTTGGTGGCGATGATTTAATTTAGGGAGAACAAAAGCAGGGAGGCCAGTTTGGCTGGGATGTGGACTCTGTGTGTGTGTGTGTGTGTGTGTGTGTGTGTGTGTGTGTGTGTGTGTTACATGAACTAAGTCCAGGAATTGACCTTAGGGCTGGATTATAAAGATTTTCACTGCCAAGGGATGGGCTATTTTATTCTAGAGGCACTAAGGAGCCTCTGAATCTTTTTGAGGAGGGGAGTGACTCAGTCAGATCTGTGTTCTGAGAATGTCGATGCCGCAGCTCTCTGGAGGCTGGATTGGAGAAAGTATTATTGTAGATAAAAATTTTTCCAACTTTGCCATTTTTCTTCCTGCTTCTCTGAGTAGGAAGTACCAGTCTCATTGGGCAGACAGAGAAACTGAGGCCAAAGTGATTAAATCATGAACTCATAGATCTAGAAGGAAGCTCAGAGGCTTCATTTTCCAGGGAAGGAAACTGAGGCTCCAGTCAATATATGGGCTCTTGGTAAAGATCTATAATAGGCTGACTGAAGTGGCTGGGGCTAGGAGAGGTGAGTGACTTGTTCAAGGTCATGCTGGTAGTAAGTGTCAGAGATAGGATTTCAGCACAGGTCCTCCAACTCCCAAGCCAGCATTCTGTTGTAGCAGGCTCCCCCCCCCCCCACCCAGCAAGTCCTTGGTAGTCACAAACTTCATTTCTAGACCCTGGTCCTATTCCCTCTCCATTGACTGCCTCTCTGAGGCCCCGGCAATGTTTAAAGTGCCCCTACAACCCACACTCGAGTTTCCACTCCTCCTTTTTCCAACTCTAATAATCTTTATTGACGTGAATATAGCACTTCTGAGGTTGCAAAATTTTATGTAGATGGCTCACAATAACCCTGGAGGGATCTTATTCTCCCCATTTTCTAAATGACGAAACTGAGCCTCAGAAATGATCTGCCTGTAGACACAAAGCTGGCCGGAGGCGGGATGCAAATCCAGGTCTTCCTGGGTCTAGCACAGCGAGCTGACTCCAAACCTAACACCCTCTCAACCCTGTCCAGCTGCTTATAGGTGGGAGAGGCGTGGGACGAAGAACCTTGGAGGGAGGGGCTACCCGGCTGTGTGACACTGGGCCGCTCAGCCCCCCTCTCTGGGCCTTGGCAGCCTCACCTGTGTCGGGAATGCTCTGCAAGCAGGTTCCTTCCAGCTACCTCCCAACAGGCCTCCCTCCGCCCCATAGATTTTTGCCTGCCATGCTCATGTCTGGGGAGGAAGGCAGGGGCCGAGGCGCGCGCATGGGGGTAGTGTCCGCCTGTGTGATGTGGCTTTTTGCAGACGCTGGGGCCGCCAAGATGTTACAGCAGGAAGCTCACCTGCGGGGAGCCGGGAGCCGGGGGCCAAGCTTTCCCTCTCTCCAGAGGAAGGAGGGGGGCGGGCGGCCAGGACTTCCCCTGCTGAAACTCCATCCCGTTCCCCCTTCCTCTGCCCCCGGGGCTCCTCACCCCATGTCTCCAGGCCCTGCCTTCTCCTCACATCGACTGCTCCCCAGTTTGTAAGCCTTTGGGTAGCTCGCAGGAGGGGCTTTGGCCACACGCTTGACTCTAAAGCTGCCGACCTGCAGAGCTCCCCACCCCGGCCCCCCATATGCCTCCCCTGTCTCTGTCCCTGCTTTCCTTCTGCCCTCTTTGTGTAGATATGCATGTCCTTCTATCTGTAGTGGGCTGTGTGTGTGTGATGGAAAATCATAGCCCGCGCCTGTCACTCTGTGTGTGTCTACATGGAACATATGTTTGCATGTGTGATGTCTGGGTACTAAGCGCTCATGGTCGCTGTATGAGGTGTGTGTATCAGCGTGTGTCTGTGCTGGGGACATGTGATGTGTGTGCTTTGCTCAAAGCTGCGGCCTGCCTGTCCCTCTGTGTTTGGATGGGGCTGAGGCCACCCCCCCCACGCTCCCCCCCTTTCTGGCTTTCATAGCTCCTGCGTGGAGCCCCCAAGGATGCTGAGCCCCGCCCCGCCCCGCCCGGTCCCGGCATCATCCTCAGCAGTTCCCCATCTGCACACATCGTGGTGCTGCTGTCTAAGGAACAGCCCGGGCAAAGGCGGGACCTGGAGGCTGCGGAGACAGCCCAGCCGAGCCCAGGAGAGCTGTGTGCACCCCGCCTGGCGCTGCTCCGCCGGGGTGGCCGCAGAAGTTTGTAAAGAGACCCCCAAAGGAGAGGAGCTGTTCAGGACATGCGCTTGGAGGGGAGGGCGGAGCCGTCAGCCCCCTGCGGTCCCCCATTGTTCTCCTTGTGCGCAGGGGTTGGGGCCGTTTGCTGTACGGGGCTGGCCCTTGTCCCCTCGTCCCCACGTCCGCACAAGCAGGGCCCGTCACAGATTCTCGCTCCCTGCCCAGGGACGTTGGAAATCCTTTGGAGTGACAAGGCCTCTGCTCTGGCTCATGAGAGAACAGAACCCCGGGGTCCCTCCAACCTCTCCTTATAAAGCCTTCGTTCCACAGAACCAGGGATGGAGGCTCGCGCGCCCCTGGACGCTCCAGCCCTGCCGTGGCGTCGCGGACACTTTACAATAGCATTTCTTGAGTGACTTAAGGCCTGCAAAGCTCTTTACAAATACCATCCCCTTTGGTCCTCACAACCACCCTGGGAAGGAGGTACCATGATTATCCCCATTTTACAGATAGGGAAACTGAGGCAAACAGATATTATGAGACCGACTGAGGCACGATGTGAACCCAGGTCTTCTTGAGTCCAAGTCCAAAGCTCTATCTACAGTGCCACTTAGTTTCCTAGAGTCAGGACACCCACCACTCCACCCCCACAGATCACGGAGCAATGTCATCCAGGTGGAGGTGGGTCGGGCAAGAGGAGAGGCGTCCAGTGTGATTCAGGGCCTAGGGGCAAGGCTTAGTGCCCAGAATGTTGGAGGGGCTGGTCATGCTATCCTGGAAAAGAGTTGGGGTGGGGGCGGCAGAAGGACTTTGGATGAAGGGCAGTTGTGGAAGAGACTGGTCCTGTTCTGCTTGGTCCTGGGGCAGGGGCAGAGGATGGACGTGGGGGACAGGCGGGTGTAGGCTGGGGGTCAGTAAAATCGTGCCCGCGGTGGAGTGGTCCGGGCAGGAGGTGGTGGTTTCTCCAGCTCTGGAGATCTTTGGGTGGAGGCTGGGATCTGGAGACTCTTACTAAGGTCCAGCCTCTGAGGTCCCAGCATTCAGTGATTCTGGGATGGGACCTGGCCCAGCGTCGGCCTTGTAACTGGGGAAAGATTTCAGTCCGCTGGAGGCCTGCAGACCACTTAGAAGGGTCCAGAGAAACCACTACACGCTAGGGCTGGTGTTGAGGGAGGCAAAGGGCAGGACCCAAATACTGTTTTCCAAGGTCCTGATGCCAGACACATGACCATCCTTGAGAGTTCTGGCTTGGGAGTCAAAAGACCGGTTCAAAGTCTTGCGCGCACACTTTCTTTCCTGAGTGATGCCAAGCAGGCACTAAGGGATACAGAGAAAGACAAAAACCAGTCCCCGCCCTCGGGGGACTGGTTCAGTTTAATGAGGGAGAAAACTTGCAAACAAACAAGCTTAGGCAAGATAATTAGGAGATAATCAAGGGAGGGAAGGCTCTAGAACTAAGAGGAACTGGGAATGCCTTCTTGGACAAGATGGGATTTTAGCAGGGACTTGGAGGCTGGCAGGGCAGCCAGGTGGTGTTGCTGTAGACACACTCCAAGGCTCTGTTCAGCCCAAAGTCTTATGATTCCAATACCATGACCATTCCTTTGCATTTTATTTTTCTAGCTCTGCAGTAAGATTTTGGAGAAGACAGCCTATCCTCAGTGGAACCAGACTATCACACTGCCAGCCATGGTGAGAGGGCTTGAGGAAGCGCGGGGCTACCGGGGGGGGGGGGGGGGGGGGGGGGGGGGGGGCTTCTGTTTTCCTGCTCTCCTCAGTCCCCAGGTGGGCTTAGTGGTAGAGAATTCTGGTCCCAGCCGGCCCTACTTTCACCCTCTCCATCTTCCTGAAGCCCTTGGCCAACCCACTGGTCTCACCCCATTTGGCTAGATTAACCCAGGAGGTCAAGGTCATTGGCCGACTGTCTGAGCTAACCGGCTCCTTTCCTTGACCAAGGGCTCCCAGGGTGCTCCACAGGGCTGCTCGAGTTCCTTTTCCAGGAGAACCGGATCACTCAATGCTTCTCTCCTCTTTCCTCAGTTTCCCTCAATGTGTGACAAGATGAAGATTCGGATCATGGATTGGTGAGTGCTTTGTCTCTGAACTGTAGAATTTTTAGAGCTGGAAGCTTCTGGGGATAATTGAATTTTATGAGTATTTTTTAATGTCTACTCAATTCAATTCAAGTATTTATTAATCACCTACTGTGAGCCAGGCACTGTGCCAGGTGCTGACAAGGGATGCTCATTTATTTTTCATTGTATTTTATTTTTAAATTAATAAGCAGTTATTTTCTCTCTTTCCCATCTACCTTCAATTTAAAAGAAAAAAAGAGAAAAAAAAAAACAAATCCCTTGTTAAAAATATGCATTGTGAAGCAAAACCAATTCCCACATTGTCTGTTCCAAAAATGTATCTCATTCTGCATCTTGACAAGTGATATTTATATAGTGCCTTTTAAAGACTACAGCATATTTTACATAATTTCTTCACTGGACCCTCCACAACCCTGTGAGGTAGGTACCCTAGGCGTCATATACCCATTTTACAGATGAGGAAATTAAGTCCAAGAGAGAGTAAATGCTTTGCTCATGGTGACAGTGGTACTAACTGCCGGAAGTCACATAGGGAGGAAGTGTGGTATGGTAGGAAGAGCACTGGGTTTAGAGCCAGAGAACCTGGGTTCAAATCCTACTTTGGGCCTCTCTGGATCTCCGTTTCCTCATATGTAAAATGAGGAGGTTAGACTCATTGGCCTCTGAGGTCCCTTCCTACATCTATGATCCTGACAGAGCACAGATCTCTCTCCCACCTCCACTAGCAGTTCTTTATGCCTGAAATGCACTTTCTCCTCATCTCCATCTCTAGATAGCCCTAGTTTCCTTAAAAACTCAGTTCAGCTGCCACCAGATCCCCCTTCCCTCCCTAGCTGCCCATCTCCTTCCATCCCCAAACCATCTTGTATTCATATTCAAATACACACACACACACACACACACACATAAAGGTTGCATTTGCTCAAGTAGAATGGAAGCTCTTTGAGGGCAAAACCTGTTTCACTTTTGTCTTTGTACCCCTAGCACCTAACACAGTATTTGGCACACTGTAGATACTTTGTAAATGTTTGCTGTTCGATTGATTTAAATCCAGTTCTTCCTGCTTCCACGTCTAGCACTCTAGCCACCATACTATGCTGTCTCTTCATACAGAAGCATGGTTCTTCCTTCCCTTTGGGAGCTCAAAGCCTAGCTTGAGATGAAAGGCACATACATGGCATCTACACAAACACACATGCATACTTGACAGTACCAAATGGCTTACAAACAAAGGCTCGATGGCCACTGGTCGGGGATATTATGGATGAGATTCTTGGTCAAAGACAGGTTGAGTTTGATGGTCTCTGAAGACCTTACAATTCTGACATTTGGTGATTCTGTAGTACTAAGCTGAAGAGTACAGATCTTACTGTGGTAGACCGGAGCTGCCAGGAAAGCCTTTCTGGGGAAAGTAGGGACAAGATCTAGACCTGGAAGCATGGGGTAGGATTTTTGGACAGGCAGAGAGGAAAGGAGAGGGCATGGCAGGCGGGGGACTCAGCTTGAGCAAAGATGCTGAGGTGGGCATGAATATGAGGCTATGTGGAATAAGGAGAGCCCTCTGGCTGGAACAGAAGGAGGGATATGTTGGGGGAAAAGGGGAAATAAGATTAGGCATGTGGGCAGGGTGTGGGCCAGATGAAGCAGGTCTTGTCAAAACTAGTCTGAGAAGTTTGGGCAGGATGTGATGAAGGTTAGAGAGCCAAGGAAGCCATCCCCGTGTCGAATGGACTGCAGAATCTGGGTCACCACTTACAGGGCATGTTCCATTCAGTTTGATTCTATTAGCCTTTGTTAAGCACCTACTATGGTCCAGGCACCGTGCTGGCTACTGAGAATACAAAGACAAAACAAAACAGCTCCTACCTGGGGAAAAAAGCACAGCTAAGGCTGTGTACATGAGGTGAGCCACAAAAGGAGGAAAGGGAGGAGGACGGAGAGCATTCCAGGCATGGCTTGTGCGGAGGCATATGGGTCGGGGATGGAATGTCGTTTGTAGGGGGACAGCAAAGAGGTTGGCTTGGCTGGTCTACAAAGGTTTTGCAGCTGGGAAAGGCATGTTTAAAGTAGAGTTTTAGGAATCATAAGAATTCCCCTTGGACTGGAGGGGACTTCTAGAGGTCCTCATTTCTGGCCCCTTGCCCCTGGGTTGGGCCACATTCCAGCCACCCCAGGTGGAAAGAAGCATCCCTTGTGTGTCCCTGAATAGCCTCGCCAATGGGGACTCCCTGGTTTTCCTAGGGCCCGGGTCACAGGACCTCCTAACAAGGAGGACAGGGTTAGGAGGGAAGAAAAAAAAAAGATTCCGGCTCACCACAGAGCCGTTCAGACATGTGCCAGGTTCACAGGAATAAAGAAAACAGCTTGTGGGAGTCTTAAGAGAAAATCAAAATGAAAACGGGAGGGAGTTCAGCGGTGGGGAAGAGTGTTCTGGGGCCCAACCACTGGTATGTGCCACTGGGAAGTGGTCTGGAGGAGCCGGAGCTCTGGGCCTTGAGACATCTCTTCCTTGCAGCTAATTGTGTGTGTGTGTGTGTGTGTGTGTGTGTGTGTGTGTGTGCTGAGTTGTGTGCTTTTTGTGTAAGTGTGAACAGTTGGGGTTTCTGTGTGTTTGCTTGGGTGTGGACATGCAGGCACGCCTGTCCAGCTTGTGTCCATAGCTGGGCATGTCTGTATGTGCCTCTGTATTGGTGTGTGAATGTCCCTGTGTTGCATGCATCGTACGTCTCTGGGCTATGTGTGTGTGTGTGGGGGGACTGGTCTGTGGACTACGCAGGTTTGGCTATGTGAGTTTGTGTCTCTGTGTTGTGTGTACATTGCCTTTCTCCGCACTGCTTGTATGGTGGTGTGTGTGTCCGTGTTTTGTGACTGCATGTGTCCTGGACCACGTTTGCGGATGTGTTGTATACAGTATGTGACTGGTTAGAAGCTGTTCACAATGACTGGCTCTGGGCTGAGTTTGTTGTGTAGGTCTCCACAGCGTACATTGTGTCTTTGTGTGTGTGCTACGGACACTGCCCATCTCTGGGTTGTGTTTAGGTCTATTTGCATTGACTGTCTCAGGGTTGTGTCTGTGGGGTGGGATGTGTGTGTGTGTGTGTGTGTGTGTGTGTGTGTGTGTGTGTGTGTGTTCAGCATATAGCATAGCCCTGATACATTACGGGCCCGTAGCCGGGGGTTTTTGGTCAGGCCTGGGAGTCATTTTTATTGTGAATCTATTTTGAGATCTTTGGCATTTTCCAAACCCCCCCCCCCAAACCCTCAAACCTATGTCTTGGCCAGCAAGTTTCCTGCCTCTGCAAGCTGCCCTCTCCAAGCCGCAGGCTGCTTTCTTCCCAGCACACTCAGATAAACTCGGGGTGACCTGGCTCCTGGAAGCACGCTGTCTTCCAGGGGGTCAATTTTCCAGTTTCTTGGTTTTCTTTATTTTTTTTCCTCCTCCTGGCCCAGTTAAACCAGAAATCCAATTCTCCTGAAAGCCTCCGTCTTGCCCTAGGAGCTGGTTGCTGGTTAGGGTACAGGCCCTTGGTGTGGTAGATGAAGCTGGGTTTAGAAATACTTTTGGCGATGGGGAGCAGGGGGGAGCCGGACAATCTTCTGATCTGTCCTGGGAACCAGCTTGGGAAAAGCTGGTGTTCAAGGCTGGGGGCAGAATTCACTTCTCCCTGGCCTACTTTTTTCTCCTTCTGGAGCCTGGAGTTGGAATCTTTAAAAAACCCAAACACTGAATTACCTCCCAGAGAAAGTGTTGATCCAGGGAGTGGAGGGGGGAGGAAGAGGACAGGAATGGAGAGATGGAGAGATAAAGACACAGAGAAAAAGGCAGAGGCAAAGATGGAGAGATGGGGAGAGAGGAATCCTGAACAAGCACCTACTATGTGCCAGGCTGTATGCTAGGCATTTACAAATATTATCTCCTCTGATCCTCACAACCTTATGAGGCAGGCACCTTAATTATCTCAATTTTACAGCTGGAGACACTGAGGCAAACAGAGGTCCACTGACTTGCCCAGGGTCACACAGCTAGTAAGTGTCTGAAGGTAGATTTGAACCCAGGTCTTCTTGATTCTAGACCTAGCACTCTATCAGAAAGAGACAAGGGGAGAGAGAGAGACAGAGACAGAGACAGAGAGCTAGAGACACAGAGAGAGAGAGAGAGAGAGAGAGAGAGAGAGAGAGAGAGAGAGAGAGAGAGAGAGAGGGAGAGAGAGAAAGAGAGAGAAAGAGAGAGAGAAAGAGTCTTTGTTTAAGGAATGCTTCATTCTTAGGGGTTCAAAATATAGAAGAGATAGTTACTACCATGAGGGAACTCCCATTTGGATGGGGTGATAAATTTGTAATCAACAGAATTATCAAAGTCCTTAGAGAGGAAGGGTCAGAGGGAATGGGTGTGCCCAAATCACTCACCTGCTTAAACCTTCACTGGCTCCCTATGGCCTCTGGGATCAAAAACAAATTCCTTAGCCCTTGAAATCAACTAATCAATCAATGAACAAACATTTATGATGTGCCTGCTGTGTGCCAGACAATCAGGAATGTTGTAGAACAGTATAAAGAACACTGGCCTCGGCAAGGATCTTAGCTCGTGTTTGCCTCAGTTTCCTCATCTGTAAAATGGGCACACAAGTGGCGGTATTGTTGTGAGGCTCAAATGTAACCAAAGCCCTATTTGAATGCGCCCTATTATTTTCATTTCCGTAGCCTGTGGAGTGGGCAGCTTGGGAGACCCTCCCTCCCTCTCCCCATTCCCCGGGGCTAAAGGTTTTTCTGGAACCTCATTCTAGGGATCGCCTCACTCATAACGACATCGTGGGCACCACTTACCTGTGTATGTCGAAAATATCTGCAAGTGGAGGAGAAATAGAAGGTGAGTCCTCTCCTGCCTCTCTTCTCTGCGTCCCTTCTTCCTTCTTCTCTGCCCCTGGTGCTGGGTGGGACCGAGAGCTGTGGCTGGGGTATTTCTGTGCCCCTGTCTGCTGGGGAAACTGCTTCCGAGGGAGCTCTCTGGTGCCTCGCCCCCACCAGCCTCGCTTCTAGTTTGAGAAGTTTCAGAAAGCCCCGTCTGGCTGGACATCCCCAGGTACCCAGTAAACATTCATTAAGTGCCTACTGCGTACCACTTAACTGCGCTAAGAGCTGGGTCCAACTTATGTGACCTTGGGCAAATCACTTACTTACTCTCCCTGGGGCCTCGGTTTCCTCATCTGTAAAATGAGGGGATTGAACTAGAATGACCTTGGAGGTTCCTCCTAGCTCTGGAACTGTGATCTCTACCCTTCCCTGCCATGATCTGTCTCAGGCAATGCTCTCCCCCTGAGAGGGGGCAGCCTAGAAATGCAGACGACTCTATCTGTTTAAATGAGGTCCAAGGGCTCTGTGTGGTTTCCAAGACTGCAGATAACCCCACGCTTGGCGTGACCCATGTCGCGGTCCCTGGCTGTGGCCAAGGGCGGCGTCTCAGAAGGTTGCCTGAGACGATGCTCCTCCGGCTGCTTGCAGTTCTTTAATTTCCGAGGTGTTGCACCTGTGGTGGGTGTGTTTTTGCCGCTAGATGGTGTGTGTGTCAAGGGTCTCTGGGAGCATCAGCATCTCTGTCAGATGAGAAGCCAGGCTCGGCCTGCCCCTTCAGAAGGGAGCAACTCAAAGCCCCCAACTCCCTTCTCTCCCCGCTTCAGCTCCTACAGGAGGGACCTTCATGGACAGTCAACGAGCCACCCCCAGAGGCAGCCGGGAGCTCGTGAAGTGGATCTCTTGTACAAAAGTGTCTTGTTGCTCGTCAGGAGGTCCCAAGCAGGGAGTGTGCTCTTGTGTGTCCTCAGAGACCCTTTCCCAGGCCCCTCTGGTTGGATTTCTGCTTTCCAGGGCTGTGGCTTCTGACCAGTACCTGGGAGTTACAGGATCCAGGTTCGAACGTCACCTCTGGCTTGACCTCAGAGTCCCCACACAGATCACTATGACCCTAACCTTTTCTGAAGCCTGGGATGGAAGATTTGGTTTTTAACCATCAGTCGTTGTTTTCCAAAGTGTGCTATGGTCACCCATTCTGGGAGTCAGACTGCCATTTTCCTAAGAAACCAAAACCAGGGCAGTTAGGATAGAGTGGGAAGCTTGGCATCAGGAAGAGCCGAGTTCAAGTTCTACCTCAGACCCTAGCTGTGTGAGCCTAGGCAAAGCACTTAATCTGTCTTTCTGTGCTCCTGGTCCCTTATCTGTAAAGTGAGGATAATAATTGTTATTGCTTACTGGTGTCCTATTCTTTGTGACACCCTGGACCATAGCACATCAATATTGTCCTGGGGTTTTCTTGGCAAAGACTGGAGTGGTCTGCCATTTCCTCTTCTAGTGGGGATAATAATAACACCTACTTAATAGGGTTTTTGTGAGACTCAAATTACAGAACATAGGTATTATATATTATTATACTATATTAAGTATATACTATGTAATATATTATATATATATAGTATTATGGTATATTAAGGTATGTTATTGTTATTGTCTGACTGTTTGGCCCCAGTCTAGAGGCTTTTGGGACCAGGAATGACTATACCTCCGTCTCTTAAATTTTTACTCCCCAGACGTCTGGTTGCTAAGGCTTGTTCGGGTCCACCCACCTCTAACTGCAATTCTTAAGACAATAGATTACTTTTCTTAGATGCCACCGCTGCTGCTTTGAAAGATTGAGTTGAAAGATTAATTGGTTTTCTGGAAAGTTACTCTGATGTTTTAATGACCTGCACATAAGTTAACAAAGCCTGTTCATCTAGAACCATGCATGCTAAATTAACCAGAGGAAATCCAGTTTTCTCCCCCTGTGGATAATCCAGACTTCATTTCTGTTTGACCTTCCCGGGTGTTGGTATTATGTGAATTCCCCCCCCCCCCCCCCCGCCCAGTTCTTTATTCTGTCTGGCTCAGGGTAATGGCCTAATGAGTCTGAATTCCCTGCTGGCCAGGAGAGGGCAAGCTAGGCAGAGGGAGAGTGCAGGATGTAATTAGTCATTCCTGAGAGTTTGTCTCCTGGACGGTTAATCCGCAAAGAGAAGATGGGTGGATGGATGGCATTCTCTTTGGGAAATCGTCCTGTTTTATGCTGAGATAAGTCCTGATGGGGTCTTGGAGGTGCGGGTGGGGGCCACTCGGGGAGTCCCCTGGTATCATCCTCTCACGCTTGGCTCTCCCTGGGGGACAGAAGTTATTTGTCCTTTGTTCTAGAGGGAGTGGGTTAAGCCTGGAGAAGTTCTCAGGTCGGAGGGCTGGGAGGCCGGCGTTGGGTTCTTTCAGTCTCACCAGCCTGGGTGGACCCTGGGTCTGGGGATCTTGCGTCCTCTTTGTAAGCTGTGTTTTCTCTTGTACTTTGGGAGGGAGACTGGGACTGATTAGAGCTTTTTATAGGGTGTGATCTGCTAGCTGCCCTGTCCTGGCACTTTATGGGGAAGTGAGGGGGAAGGGGAGGGAAGGGAGGTGATGCTGCCCATGGTGGGGGGTGGAGTTGGGGCGGGGGGATGCTTCTCAGATGTTGCTTGGAAAAAGAAAGACTTGAAGATCCCCGAAGTAGACCAGACCTCAGCGATCACAGAATAAGACGGGAACGTGACATCTCTGGCCTCATCCCCCCGCCCCACTTTCCTCTATGCTTGCATCCCGAGCAGCGGAGGATGGGGCTACAGCGAGTCCGTCCGTTGACAGAAAGAGACAGCGGGTGAGATCAGTGGTCAGTCTGCGGACAGGGCGAGGGGTCAAGGTCAGGCCTGAGTCTGCGCTGTGGCCAAACTTCAGGGGGGAGTCTGTGGCGAGGGAACAGCATTTCTCTGGGTGAGAGGCCAGCTCCTCCAGATGGCATTCAATCCTGTGACCTTGGCCTCATTAGCACTGAGTTCTAACCACTGAGCAGCCTGGCCCGGTCTGTTTGTAATAATCCAGCAGAGCTTAAGGCTGAATCTGTTTCCTTCTCACTAACAGTCACTGATGCTTTCCTCGGAGCTGCAGCAGCTCCTACACCCTCCCCCTCCCCCCGACTCCCCCTCTGCCTAGTTATTGCTGAGAATTGTTCTTGCTCGGGGGGCCAACTTTCCCCACCAGGGACGCACATTTCTGGGGGACATGAAAAAAGCTATGAGTTATTATTCCCGTGGCTTCAGCTGTTACTAACCTGAATTCCTGGGTGAAGGGCCCCTCTCCCGAGAGCACATGGACTGAGCAGAGGGGCTCCTGGTCCTGAGCACATCTAGAGATGTGGCATCTCGCCCCGTCGCCCTGACCCTCCTTGCTATTTCTTATTCCATTTCCCTCTAGTTGTTTGACATGCTTGCCCTCCCTCCCTCCCTCCCTCCCTCCCTCCCTCCCTCTCCTTCCTTCCTTCCTTCCTTCCTTCCTTCCTTCCTTCCTTCCTTCCTTCCTTCCTTCCTCCCTCCCTCCCTTCCTTCCTTCCTTCCCTCCTCCCTCCCTCCCTCCCTCCCTTCCTTCCTTCCTTGTCACCTTACTCTTGATATGGTCTCACCTTTTGTTAAGAGCTTGTTGAAACCTGACACTCTCGTCTAAGTTATTAAATAGAGCTCCCATCTTTGGGTCACTCACAAGTCTGATGTCCATGCTTTTGATGCTTTGGGACAAGCTATCGATAAAAAATGTTAGACAGCACAGGGCTTAGGACAGATCCCTGGGAAACTCTCTTGACAGAGCCTTCCCAGGGGGCAGCTAGATGGTGCAGTGGATAGAGCACCGGCCCTGGATTCAGGAGGACCTGAGTTCAAATCTGGCCTCAGACCAAACACTTGACACTAGCTGTGTGACCCTGGGCAAGTCACTTAACCCAAATTGCCTAAAAAGAAAAAAAACTGCGAAAGAAAGAAAGAAAGAAAGAAAGAAAGAAAGAAAGAAAGAAAGAGCCTTCCCTGCAAGCTGACCCTGAGATAACTTCTTTGCATTTGGTTATTCAGCCACTTTCAAGTCCACCCAAATCTGTTGTCATCTAAAGCGCATTGTTACCTCTTGTGTGAAAATGTCCTGAGAGACTGTTAAGCTTTGTTGGGATCTAGCTAAACTCCGCTCCAAGACAGAGACAGAGACAGAGAGACAAAACAAATAGACAGAGTGCACACTCCAAAGTATGTTTCCTTCACCCACCTAGACCTGTTGGTCTAGGCTTGGATTTTGTTTCCTGAACTTATCTATTTTCTCCTTTTTACCTATTTACTCCTTTTTCTGTGGTGTACTCTCTGAACAATATCATTTCTTTTTTTCCCCCTTATTGATATTTACCCAAAAGTTCTCCACTGTCCTTCCCCATTCAGGTTCCTGGATTTCCTCACATGAATACATCTTCTTTAAAAAAATTTTGTGAATTTAATAAACACCAGAGAGGAGAGAATATATCTATATGAAAAAGAGAACAGAAAAAGAGATTTACGTGTCCACCTGTGAATCATATAACATATAGCTTACTTCTTAAAAAGGCACGTTACAAATTCAGCACATTATTTCAAAGCTGTCCTGCTTATCTGTGCTTCTGTATGCACTTTAGTATGTTCTTTTCTTTGCATTAAAAAAATCCAAACAACCAACTTTTCAATGGCCCATTTTTTTGCTTTAGCATATTCTCTTTATACATAAAATCTTAGTTTATGTCATCTGTCTCTCTCTCTCTCTCTCTCTCTCTCTCTCTCTCTCTCTCTCTCTCTCTCTCTGTCTTCCCTATTTTGACCAAGATGAAAATGCAGGGGGCACTGATAGGCCCAATCCCAGTGATGATTGGCACGGGACCTTGGACCTGCTCTGTTTTTGCCTTGGGCTGGTTTGCCTCTCCTTGGGCAGCCTGCTTGCCCCCTACTCATCATATTGGTGCCAGAATTAGTGTGGTCGCTTGAT